TGGTCAAAGCTGTTGGAAAAGTATACTTACTGTACAAGAAACTCATAGAGGACCTTCATGTCCTTGGCACACTGGCAAAACTATGGCATGTAACCATATTTCTGTGAAAGGTATGCTCCAAAGTAATCCAGAGAGACCAGGATTGCTACAGCCTAGCATGTGTAAGCTCAAGACCACAAAGATCTAGTGTCGGGATCTAAACCTGGCAAGTCCAGCTAAGGAAGCCTCAGATGAACAAGACTTCTCATTCAAATATAAAACATTAAGGCCAGTGCAGTTCTATGAGACAAAGATGATCTTTAAAAAAAACAAAAAGGAGGGAAAAAAATTTGATAATCCGCCATAGTATCCCTACTCTCCCTAACCACATTCCTTCCATCTCCTACCTCGCAAGAGTTTTGGAGCTCACTGGGCACCACATTGAGGAGATTCAGTTCACTAAGCCTGCAGAAAACAAATCCAGCAAAAGCCATGCCAATTTTCTTCAGCATTAGTGAGTTGAATCAAGTTAGGAAAGGACCTACATGGTATTAAGTTGGCACAAGGGAGTAGATCTGGCCAAGCAGCCAGGCGCAGGTACAGGAAACAGCAAAACCTCCCTCTTTGGGTGGCAGAGCCCCGCTTCATTGACTTCAGTGTAAGTGCAGTGATAGGAAACAGCATCAACCGGTAGGGACCGCAGTTATGACAGACCATTCCTACTATATTGTACATTACATTGCCCTTCAAAAGCGAGTTGTTCAAACTGAAAATAAAACTTACATAAAACTCATGCTTGGCCAAAAAGCGTCGCCAAAAAAACTCTTAAGTCTGAAGTCGCTCCTATGTAAGGCTGGATTGGAAGAGAATTAGTGATTTCATGCTCATTTGAAGCCTTCTTTTGTTCCCCTTGGAAGTACAAATAAAATTATATTTCCTTCTAATTGAAATTACCTCCAAAATTTTTCATGCAGTTAAATTTTCTATAGATACAATAATTAATGAAATTGAACTATTGTTTTGTTATTTTGTAACAAATCTAAGTGGAATATTCGAGCTTTAAGGAAATTAGGGTTTTTTTTTTTTCTAGTTTGTTTTAAAAAATAGCTACCATCAAAAGATATTGCCATAAAAAAAGACAAATCTCCTTTGGTCTACAGTATTTTTAACTACATGCAACAAAACAACTGCCTTTCCTGGCTAAACAAATGTCAAGAAGGATATTATTAGAACAGCTTTAAAAGTAAGACGTCTTCAAGTTTAACAACTACAACAAAATACAAGTGGGAATAGCATTAGTGGCTTAAGTAACAACATACATTAACAAAAAACTCAGTACCAAACACTTTGTATCCAACCAGTTTGTGGATATCCGTGGAGACAAGGAACAAGCCTCCTGAGACATCAAAACTTTTCAGAAGCAGCTATGACTCTATTAAGCAAGTTTTGTGTCAAACAAGCTACCACAGGACAGAGCTGTTAATTCTACTGCCTTTTGGGAAAAACCATCATGAACAGGAATTTCTTTAATATCCCCACTAAACTCAAGTATTTCAAGGTTGTGTTCTAATGTTCAATTTACCTGGCTACAAATAAATCATAAAAAGCCTAAGGAAAAAAAGATGAGAGGTTATCAAAGTCATTGTCTTTTCTACACCTGGATCAACTTTCCCCCATCAATCCTGACATACGTTTGCCTGTGGAGGTGACAGAATCTATTAATCAACATTTTATAAATAAGTTAAGAAAGTCTATTTTCATACTTCACTATGCCTAGCCATAAAGAAAAAGGTCTAATAGTAACATGAAACCATCTCCTCTGCTACCATTTAAACTCACTACTTCTGGCAGTAATCACCACAAGCCTGGAGAACAAGTTACTTGCACTCTTTGCATCAGATTTGACAATTTCCATTTCTTTTTTAAACAACCTCAGGGTTTTTTGCTTTTCTCAAAGCTCTGACCTTCCAGACTTCAGATCGCTGTTATTATTCTTCTCTAGACTCTCCTCAGCTAGACCATGTATTTTTTGAAGCTGTGGCCCGAAGTCAGACATAGTATTCAGCTAAGGCCTTTCCTGTGCTATGCAAGACAGAAGAATTATTTCACTTATATTTTGAGACATAGTCCTGCAGAATATTAGCTGGATATGAAGCGTCTTGTAGCTAAAGTTTAACTTGTCCTTACAATTAAGTAGGATGTCATTCGCAGACTATAAAGTTAGCTCAATCACTGAACGCAAACGTAATGAAACATAATTGAGACTCAACACAAATCGTATTCCCAAAACTACAAAAGCAATGAAGTAAAAAAATGCTTATGTCGTTTCAACTTTCCAAATAAGTAGCACGTTTAATTGTAAGCTCTTCAGAGAAATAGAAACTTAAAAGGAAAGTTATTCTAATTCCCAGCATGACAGGTTCCCTACGTGTTATTGCAACAAAAACAACCCCAGTTTTTCTTGGTGTACCTATGTTACTTTATGAACACCCACCACTTACTTCATATTATAAGGTTAGAGGCGCCTTTTCATTCTATGCATTTTATTCTTCTTCTTAAATCTGTTTTATAAGATTATGGTTCTAAATATAGAACTAATATTCATGCAGGATAAATTCCAGCATTACAGCCTAGAAAACGATGTTCATCCAACAGCTCAGGCCCTCACTTCAAAACCTTCAAAGTCATTTTCATCTTCCAAAGAGCAGTTCAGGGCACAAAGCTCTGAGTACAGAAAATCCCATTTGAATTATTTAATATTGGTGTAAATAATCTCTAGCAACAAGAACAGAGCCTTTCCTCCCAGCTGTCACACACTCCTTACTATATCAACAACCGTGTAATACTCTGAAAACCTTCCATCCAAACAATCTCTTGTCCCAAGAATTCGTCCTGGGGAAGAAGCCAACCTACGTGCCTCCGGACTCCAGCCATCATCCTAGGCCTCCCAATACCACCAACTGAACGGTGAGCGGGAGAGGAAAATTTCTGCTCAATTCACTTGCCCCTAACCTTTTCAAATCCTTATGCCTCCAAGAAGTACCTATTTACTAAATGTACTATATGAGCATATGTGCAGCTAGTCTTATTAATCTTGAACTGTAATACAGAAAAAAAATGTTTTAGCAATTATTATACTCTTGTGTAATGACTTCATTATTAGAAGATTCTTAGCATCAGCAGTTAGGCTACTGAGGCAACTTCTGAAGAACTAAATTCATGATTAAAAACGGGCCATGAGTTGAACAACATGGCTTAAACTTGTTTTTCAAAACCCCAACCCTTGCATTCGTGACACTGATGTAGTCTGAACCAACACAGAAGCACCCGATTACAATCTTGATACAGAATACCTCCTTTACCAGAGGGCTCCAACTTACAAGTTTGCGTAAGACTACTTCAAGGTCTGTCAGAGATTCTTGTTGTCCACCCCTCTTTTAAAACCAGAAACTGAGTATAGAACTGAAGGTTTTCCTTCTGGAAATCGGGATGGCAGATCCCGAAAGATGATAGGGAACTAAAACCTTTATAGGCATCTCCTCAAAATAAGTGAGGTTATGCTCCTTGACTGGCTTCCACAGCAAGATTACTTTTAAAGCTTAGATTTACATTGTCTTGAAGGAATGAAACAAAACACTAGAACATGTACTTACATTAGAGCCATGAGTCAGTTAGAGGCACTTCAGTATTTTTCTGACTTATGTCACTTTGAATTTGCATTACACTTTAGGGTGGCTTGTTTTTTTATTAAGGATAGTTTCCATTTTAACTGTATCAGCAATTTTTTGGTCTTGACCTTTATTAAAAGTACAGGTTTAGATGAAGTAATAGGTGTACTTATACAGTAAACAAAATTTAATTACTTAGGACTTGAGGAAGAACTAGCTAACTAAAGAACAAAACCACATCAGAAAATAAAAATTCTAGCACCAGCTCTGCCTTAGACCTGTATGTTTCAGTATTTCCAATGTATAATAAATTTGCTTTTAAATAATACAGGAACACCCCCACACACTTCCTAACCTTGAATATATACACCCGTACTTGTGACATATCAACCTCTCTGTTTGGCAGGTGTTCCAGACACCAGACTGCTGCTCTCTGTCCCCTGCTCTCATATAGAGATGCAAGATATTCGGGGGGGGGGGGGGGGTAGGGCGGGAAGCTACACTATGTAATTTAGCATTTGGACTCAAACCTAATGACTGACACAGGCTAAAACATTTTTGAAGTGACTTATGGCAGTTACAGAAACAGCCCCCCTTGGTACGAAAACTGATTTTAAAAAAAAAAAAAAAAAAATCTTGCCTCCTGCCACTGTGTTTCCCCTCTCCTCTCCCTCGCACTCCAGTTTATTTACCCAACTCAGCTGTATTGACAGTACTGTTTCTAGGGCCAGAATATAAACCAGCTATTGAAATGATTCCACAGAGATGTGGGTTTTTGTGGCAGAAATAACTGAGAAACTCAGTTCCATGCACAGTTGCACCAGCATGATCTGGGCGATAAAAGTCAGCAAGAAGCTTTTTAACCTCATTTTGCTGCTGTAAGAAAACATTTTTTAAACCCCACTCTTTAGGTATTTAGGTTTCTCAACCAGTTGAGAGTTTCTCCTTGCTCAGAGAAGTTAAGACCGGACCTGCATTACTCAAAGCATTTAATCACCCCGCTGGTTAGGTGTAAAATATGTGTATGCTGCTGAGTTTTGCCTTCCTTCAGCAAGTAAGCCAGTAGCTCCTTAAGATGAGGGAATCAATCTCACCTCTCACGAGCATCGATAGGGGCAGACTCCTTCCCTATTTCTCCTTCCCGGCCATCTACCCAGCATGAGCTCTTGTCAAACTTCTCAACTCATTAATTCCACTATAATCCACTATGCTATTAATAACTAAAACGGATGAAAAGATAGTCTTTTTCTGGTGAGCTGGGAGACAAACTGGACCCCTCTGCGAGCTGATGATCAAAGCCAGCTCATTTTACCTGCTGGAGGCTCTCCCCCCAGTGCAGCGTGGAGCCGTTACCTGGCGGGCTCGGCACTTCGCGGGGGGGGCCACAAGACTCTGCTCACAGATGAGAGGTCCTGTACCGATTACGCAGACACGCTCGGGAGAGCTGAGCTGAAATAACCTTCGGCAACTAACGCTCGGAACGAGAAGGCGGCAGAGCTTCTGGCATCTGTATTTACCTCCAGAACAGACTCGATGCATGGCACTTGGCAACTCGTTCCGACTTTGACGCCTAGAGTATTCGAATCTGCAAAATACCTTGCGTCGTTACAGCCCATTTTATTCCACCTTCTGAAAACATTTCGGAAGCGTTCGCAACTTACACTTTAACCCTAGCAAAACAGGTAGTACCGCTCGCTCTCCGTGGGATTGGGAAGTTAAGTAATATACCCCAAAACACAGGAAGTATGTAAGAGAGACACAAACCAGAGGCCTGACATCCTCCGTGCCTGCAGAGCGCCCTGCCCGGTAACATTTCCTCAGACTCCTCGTGCAGAAGGGGCG